GAACTACATAATGATGTTGAACTTTTTGATTTTAGTTATTACCTTGAAATCATAACGTAATAAAATGAGTTTCTCCATTAGTGGCTTCAACTACTTAGTTAGGCACTAAGATTACTTACCACATGCAGCAAGCAACTGAAAAGTGGCTAACTAAGTGTGCTTCCAATTACAACAAATTAGCAAAACTATTTTATGCAACAAAATTAATTTTAATTTAAATGGAAGACTTTAAAATGCTTCGCGATACAATGTCGATTCTTATTGTTATTGTTGTAGCTGTTGTTGTTTTTCTTGTTGTTGTACTTGTAATGGAGGTGGTTGTTATTTTGTAGTTGTTGTTTGTTCTTGTTGATTGGATTGGTTTTTTTGGTTTGTTGGTTTTTTATTGGGCTTGGTGACTGAGGTGGTGCTTGTTGTTGTAGTTTCCACTAACTGTACTAGCTGTACTTGTTGTAATGTTGTTGTTGCTAACTGCAAATATGACAAAAGTATAGGTGAGTAAGGTGAGTTGAAATTGATGCACAGAAAGAAAAGTAGGATTTTTAAGATCAATTTTGGTTGAAAGAAAGTTAATACAATTTATGAAAACCAAATGTAATTTGGTTGATTAGATAGAAATTCATTACAATAATTGATCTTTGCAATATCATGTTTTTCTCTCTGCGTAGAAGTTGTACTACTGCGGGGCTAATTGTTCTTAAATAAAACAAAGTTTTCATTCGAGTTTCTTTTGTGTATAAGTTTAAGTTTTTCATTTATTTGTTTTTCGTTTTCGTTTTTGGGTTTCTGGTTTAAGATCAAAGAATTGTATTTATGTACTGTTTGTTTTTGTCGTGGATTTGTTGAAGTGGCTGTAAATGTTTTGAAAATTTTTGGTTTCTCGTTATTTTCCGCTGTGTTTGCTTGCCGCAACGCTTGGCTTAAAAATAAATAAGTTTCAATGATGGTTTACAATTTTTCTGTGTTCTTAGGTTTTCTTTGCATTTGCACTACAGCGATTTCATAATTTGCTTATTCTCGGTTTTCTGATGCTAACAACATTTAATAAATAGTAGTTTTGAATAGTTTCTAATAATTTGTTCATTGTGTCCATTACTTGTGTGTGTGAGTTGGTTTGACTGTTTGTTTTTCTTTTTTTTCCTGTTTTTGCAAATTTGCTGTGCAGTACATGATATTTTTACTTTTTGTTGCGGTTTGTTAATGCGTTTGCTTCGCCTGATAAGATTGATGTGTGTATATATATATAGATATAAACGTATATATGTATATATATGTATGTATGACTGGTTATGGCTGATTATGTCTGTGTGCCTGTGTGTAAATGCGACGCAGAATTGTTTCAAAAATTAGTTCGTACATAGTCAAAAATCGGTTATCAAAAGGACTTTGCTGTGATTATGTTGCATTCCATAGGCTTATACATATGTATGTAAGTATTATGTATGCGTTTATGTATGAGTGTTAATGTATGTTATAAGTGTACTTAGTATATAAATATGTAATGTGTGTGTGTGTATTTTTTTTGTTAGTGTGTATGTATGCAAGAGTAGTGTGTTTCCGTTTCCACATTACCAGCTTATTACACTTTCTAGCATATTACGAATGGCTAACGACTCTTCAACTAAACACTTAGAAAGTTCGATCTAAATTTGTCTCTATTCGGTATTCGATTTACGTACTATCCTGCCGTCAGCCCACTACAGTGGTGTCCCCACAAATCAACGCTACACCTTGAAGTACAGTCGCGTCACAGGTGTAATGAATGAGAACCCGCTGCCCGAACGCAATAAAACTCGAAGCTCGCGGCGGAAACGGCGAAATTGGCTTGTTCATGCGTTAATTATTAAATTTAGTTAATGAGATTGTTTTTATTCGGTGGATTAGTTTAACAAGTGTATGTGTGTGGTCTCAAATTCAGAACCCATTTCCGCCACACAGCAAACCCTAAATTAAAGTATGAACTAACTAAACTAAACTAAACCGATCAACGAAAATTCAACTAAATTGCATATTAACATAGCTATTATTATTAGATGACGGTGTGGGTGTGGCTCTGGATGTGGTTGTGTGTGTTAACCGAACACAAGTCAAATTATATTGCACAACTGCCCTGCGGTTTGGCTCTAAGTGAGTGTGTGTGCGTATCCTGTAGTGTCCTCGCTGTCTTTGTGTGTGTGATGGCTTACAACCGGTCGGTTATTGTTATAAATGGAATCGTCATGGCTGCCACATTGGAGTGCTGATAAACTGCAGGTCCTGTATGTATGCATCTCCCCTAACAGGCCTGCTGTATTCGAACTAAGCACCAGCACACATACACCAACTAATTGCAGCCCGAAAGTATGCAATTGTTCCGGGCAGGCCAACTCGCTTGCAGATGGGAGCTTTAAATTGCTAATAAATTATTTAGGTCCCAGCCGGGCGGCAGAGCTCCTATAGGACTAGGTTCTTGAGCGGACCTGCGGGTGGGTATGTATGTATGTACGTAAGTAGGTAGGGGTTTACTCATGCTGCTTGTCAGGGAACTAAATAATGTTTGCTAAATACCAGGCCTAATTCACTAATACTCGTCGTTCGTGGGGAGAAATGATTTCGAATCGAATTTCGTTTCTTGCAGTTTCGTTTACGTTGCGTTGTGGCTCACTTTTTTTTTTTTTTTTTTTGTTTTTTACATACTTGCACACTAAGACATTAAGGTATGTGTGTGTGTGTTTAATAAGGAATCGTCAATATATATTTATATACGTTTCTAATACATAATAGACATCTATTGGAAATTCAAACGTGCTAGCATTTGCTTATGTTAAAATTACTCATATTATTTGATTTGCATTAGATTTTTTTTCAAAATTATCACCAGTAATTACGCATACGACTACACTATGCAGTTGTCCGTTTGCCCCTTAAAACTTTCCTTCGTCCTTTGTCTGTCTATGTCTGCGGTTGTCTGTCTGTGTCTGTATCTGTGTCTTTTGTGTAGAGGGTGGTGTAATTTGTGGTGTAATTATGTATTCGCTTCTCATACATGTAATTGCATTACTAATAACGCCAAAGTAACTTCTTTGTTAATATTTGCGCTTGATTTTTCGCTTCATTTTTTTATTTTTAAGATTTGCTTGGTTTAAGATTTTCTTGCTTTTAAAATTGACTCGCGCTACCTCCTCCTTTTTATTAAAAACTATATTTGAATGTATATATGTGGATGTGGTGTCGTATTACTATGTATGTTATGATCTCTGATATATATATATATTTATATATAAATATTTATGTATATAAGTATTTGTATGTGTGTATGTAAGTATAAACTATAAGCCTATAAGAATATAGTTGTAGTTGTTCATCTTTTATTTATTCGTTTTTCATAGGTTTCTTTATCCTTTATCCTTTAGTTTTCTTATTCTTTGTTCTCATTATGCACATGCATTCTAGATTATTATGAATTCGTTTCGGTGTACAAAGTTCTTGTTTTGTTTAGTGTTTCTCATTTGCCTCTCGGGGTATCGTATCAACTAAGGAACAGAAAACGATAGTAGCAAACAAAAGCTCTCACAGGATCGTAGATGTTTAGCAAATTGAATGCAGCTCGTAACTGGTAAGCATTTTCAAGCAGCACAGAAGAAAAATAGGTCGAAAAGCGCAAACCGAAAACGGAAACTCGCTGGTCTCGCTAAAAACCCTTGCTCCAAAATGTTTGCAATATAAAGCTCAGTGAAAGACACTTAAGAAACTCTAGAGCACTGCTCTGCTGTTTCTCCCTCTTTAAAGTAGTAATGTACCCAGTTTTCAACTCGTGTGTGGTGTCAGTGTTGCTGTTGTTGCTGTTTCATAATTGGACGGTTTCACAAATTTTAATAATTTCATTTTGTTTTTATTCTTGGTGGTTGTCAATTCAGTATTGAATAAACTGGTCCATTTGTGTAGTTTGGTGTCATTAAGCGAATTGTCTAACAAACTAAGACGAATTTATCGAAAATACACCGAAGAAATTTGGACTTGCCATCGGGAAAATAGCACTCCGAACGAACCAATATTTTATTGGGTGGACAAGTTCAAGAAAATTGTGAGTTGTTACTTATAAACAGCACCTACCTTGTACCCCATGAGCATTTTATTGGAGTTGAAAACTACGAGGCAATTGCAAACGTAATTTAAATGAACTCATAATAAAGAAATAGCTACATAAAATGACATGCAATTAGCAAAAGCCAATGCTTTGGGAAGGCCTTCATAACAAGTTTTTGTCGTTGACAACCTTTAAATGATCTTGTTTCAATTCAACAAAATTTTTCAACGAAATTTTACTAATTTTTCTTTTATTTAATTTTGAATGCGTTTAAAATATTTTTAAATAATTGCTACTAGAAGATTATTTTCTTGCTAAATTTCGTTTTGGGAACATAAGTGCAAATAAACTTAAAAAATTTGCCTAGTTTTCAAATTTCTTTAAAATTGTGTTTTAAAATAATACTTTAAAGTAATTACTTATTACAAATTAAACCTTAAATCTAGTTTTCCGGTTTTCATTTTTGTTTGCTCTATATGCTTACATACAATTCTTATTGGCGTTTTCGTAGAAGATTGTAAGGATTATGTCTGTTCGCAGTTTTGCTGCTTATTGAAAAGTGCTCCGGGTCTATATATATATAAATTTGTTTTTTACATTAATAATGCCTAAATTGTATAATTTCAAAACATAGGCCCTTAAATTTGAATGCTTCAAAATTTTGATATGTTCAAAATTCAGGATAACACTAGATATTATTTGGCATATAATTTAGTTTAGGTTTACTTTTCATTAGTCGCTGTTCTCAATGCCCATAAATGAAAAAAAAGGATGTGCGTATTAGGATGCCTTTTAACTATGCTTTAAATGCTTTGCGAGTTTTCTATAGTTTAAAAGCAAATTATTTGTCATGTTTCAATTCCTATTAGAATATACAAAAACCTGACATTTATGATGGTGTGGTGGTGATGAAAATAAAAATGCAATTGCCAGATACTTTTACATATATATTTATATCAAAATATGAGCGCGCATGTTACAAACTCTGGGCTTAAAAAATACGCTTTAAAAAATAACAACAAAATTTAAATATTAAATAAAACAAATCATATAAATACACGCATAAATATATTTATGATTTTATATATTTAACTGACAATGCCGTGCTTCCCTTGAGGCAAAGTACTAAACAATTTCACCAGCTAAATATACAAAAATAGGTATATTTATTTGTCTCTATTTTTACTCGTACAAAATTAAAGATACGAAAAATAAACACAAAATAATTTGTGTTAAATGTCAAATAAAACTATTAACAATAAAAATTCCAGATTACAATTTGTATATTCGTAAATTAAATAGCTACCAAGTTTGTTATTAATTTTATATTATATAGGTATTATTGTGTTATAGTAGTTTGTTTATTGATCTGATTATGATCTAATTAGGAGCTTCAAGATCGTTGTTGCTTTATGTTCTTAAAAAGTAATATTTATCAATTAATTTTTAACGAGATTGTTTGCTTCTTTATAGATAATTCCCGTTTGTCATTAAATCATGATAATTATATAAATTAAGTACAATAATACTTAATTTTTAGAAAAATATTTTACAATTAAGGATTACAAAACAATTTACATAATAACTAAGACTGTAAAGACACTTGAAATAATTACACGAACTAGTTATCGAAATGAGAAAATTGCAATAAATAAAATAGAACAAACGAAGTCTCGTTTAAAGCCCAAATTGCACATAGTTTTATTGATAGTTATATGAATGAAATGATCTACATGAAAGCCCAACAAACTTGTCAAGCGGTGAACTACGAAAGGTGTGAAGAAAATTCGTTTAGCGGCCCTAGCATTATGTATTTATGTATTCGTTGATTTGCATTAAAAACAAATGTAGTTTAGAACAACGCCCTGTGGGAGGGCAGTTACGAGTTCGAATCTCTTTGGGTCTCAAACTGCCGACCGAAGGAGCTTAAAATAAAATTATACAACTCAAGTGAACTCATATATTATCGTATTACATTATTATTATTTTGCATCTTTTATGTTAATTTCGTTTATATTATAGTAATCTAACATACGCCTTTGATATGGTGTTGTTGCTGTTGCTTTATTGCTGATATCGTTAATTCTTTTGTTTCCGTCTACTTTTATTCGCATTTGCAATACGCCCTCACCCATCTTTAGTAGTAGCTTTGCTTTGCTAACTTCACTTGGAGTTCTGAAATGTTTGGCTCTGTCTTCTAATTTTAAAACGCCTCAAAAATATGTGGTTTTGTTGTATGTTTGCTGTCTGCATGTCTGAACGATGCTGCTTCTTAACTATGCTAGATGCTCTTTTCGATTTGCACTTAACTAAATTTTCTTGTAGGTTTAATTTTTATTTTTTCCTTAGCTTGTGTTATTTTTTCTTTTGTTTTAGTTTATTTGCTTTTTACATTTAGTGTAAATTAAAATTAATTTTAATGTAAATACAAATACATCTCATACATATAAATTTATGCCTTTTTCAACTTTGTAAATTAAGCATAAAAATTATGTTTACCATCTTGTCTTTTTCTTGTGTTTGTTAATAGTAAAAACATTGGCTTGTGCAAGTTTTTTTCTTTCCTTCACTTGTTTTATAAGTAAGAAATTTAAAATCATCCGCCTTACACATGCTGCGGTGGTCGGTGCAGCAGTTCGTAGAGCTTGTTTTTGCATAACTAAAATTAATAAATTTCATTTAAAATTGCTAAATTTTTGGTTTTAATTTACACAAATATTATCCTTTCAATAAATATTTTTTGTTAAGACTTTTTCTCACGCCCGAATACTTGTCGAAATATTGTCCAAAGAAATGTTTCTTTTTGTTGCATTAATATATTCGAAATCATATTACATTAACTATACAGAAGTCTGCCGCGGGATTATGGAGTGGAGGGATGGGAAGCTGGGGTCGGAGGTCAAGGTGAAAGGTGCGTGCGGAGCGGGGGCTGGGGAATTGTTTAGTTATTTTAACATGGTTTCGTTTTGAATTACAATTATTTATTTTTGGTTTAGTTTGTTTCTCGTTTTTTATCAATTAAACATTACATAGTTTACAATTGGTTGGAGTTGATTCCATTTTCTTGCTGTGTTGTGTGAGAAAGTCCTAATTCTTCATTGTAACAATAATAACAATTCAAATTTTTTAGTATTATTTTGCTTGTTTTGTTGTTGTTTTGTTGCCACGCAAACGCATGTAATGTATGTAAAGTGCATCAAGTGTTCATTCGGTGTGTGGCTTTTGAACGAGGCCATATCGTACATAGGCTGTCATATTAATTAGCTGAATTGATATAGGGTGGATTCAGTAAATCTATGCAAATGGCTCGTAGAAAAGTTACATGCGTTTGCGCCTAATTGAATTAATTGTAGTTGGTTTTCTTTTTTTGAAGTTGATTTAGCAATCAATTTGTTTGAAATTCTTCAGTTGTTGTTGCAGCGCATTCGCCGCCTGCCTGTCATATATATCGAATGTGTAAGCCGTCATCATGTTTGTCGATCTGTTGTTGAAGCTGTTGCTGTTGCAGTTGCAGTGGCTGCTGTTGCTGCTGCTGCTGCCGCTGTTGCTGCTGTTGTTGTCTTTTGCCTGTTGTCTACGACCAATGCCTCTTCTTCAGTATAGTTTTGTATTGTGTTCTAGTTAAGCCGGTTGTTGTTTGCTTGCTTACACAATCGTAATCAAATCTCAATTGTAGATGTCCACCTTGGTATCGACCTCGTTCTCCTTCTCGATCATGCCCTCGCTGGTCGCATTGTTCCAGGCCCCATTCATGCTCTTGGACGAGGAAAAGCACAGCTTCATGATGAATGGGAACTTGGTGCCTGTGTGGGGGAGAAGGGAAGAAAGAGAGCACGCATAAAATATGTATAAGGCGGTGTGGTTCCTTTTCGACGAAAACAATGCTTATATATTCACACATATATTCATTAAGTTATGGTGTAGTATAGTGTATAAGTGTTGTATATTCTTGAATTTAGTTTTATTGATTTTGCAAGCGCAATCTTTGATTGTGCGAAGGTATTGGAGGAATGGAGAGGGTGGTGGGTTTGAAATGAATGAGGCCTACGTTTGCCCACCAATGCGTTGCAATTAAAGACCGCTGGTTGAAAGGCTTTATGCATTTAGAACGACATGTGTGCAGTAAAACTGCTGCCTGTATACCTTTCATGCAATCAAAATCCCTCAAATGCGAGAAAACAGCATTGTGGTATATGCATATCCGATGGAGGGTGAAAAGAGCCATATATTTGCTTTCAGCATAATTCTGCCGCCTGAAAGTACGCAGTGCAATGTGTTTGCAATCGGCATGCACTTGCATTTGCATTTCCATTTCCATTTGCGCTGAAGCATGGGCTGCTATGCATTCGTGCGATTGTGTTTGCGTTCCTTACACTTTTAATTACTATTTACCATGCACTCGAGCAACCCTCCGAGCAGCATCACAAATGCGCCAACGACAAATAATCAAATCGAGGATATCGACAATTTATGCATGAGCATTGAACGCAGTTCCGTTGGCCACTTTCCTAATCGATTCAACCCCCCTCTCTGTGTAAGCTGTTTTTAAGGTGTGTCAAAGTCAAGGGAAGAGCAAACTATTTTTGTGCCAGCCCCTCTGAATAAATGCAGTGGTAAATGCTTCTAGATGTCAAACGAATATTGGCCATGTAAACAAGCTCATAAAACCATAGAAATTTGCGGAATAGTAATTTGTTGTCGGGCAACCTGCTGTTGGTGAAATATTTATGCGAAAAGTTTATATCGGTCGTCAGGCCATTTGTAACCGAGCCGCGAGTCCCGAGATTCCCGAGACTAATTGTTGGAGAAATGCTGCAGGCGTTGGGTGCTGAGCTCGACGACCCATTTATGAATAACTGCAAACTGAAATTGTTTATCTTAATTACCAAATTAAAATTTTCATCGCCGGCAACGACGTTACCAAAAAGTTTGTTGGCCAAAAACAACCAACCGAAGAAACATGAAAGGTTAAAGTTTGCATTGGGGGGCAAAAGGCAGGCGGCAAAGTGGTGGATGGTTTGGAGTTGGGGTGATGCTTTTTGGTGGATGGGCGGTGTAATTTTGATGTGCGGCTGCTGCACAAGTCGAAAGGCCATGCAGAATAGCTGCCGAAACTTTCGACTGTCGTTCACAGCTAGTAGGAGTTTTTGGGTAGGTCTCGAGTGGAACAAAGTTATGATGCCTACTTATTGGGGCGTGTTTTCAGAGGTTTTTGATGAGCGAGAGAGAGTGAGAATTTTGTGTAACTTTTCGGTTTTCGGAAGGGGTGTCGGCCACATATAAATTTGACTTTCTTTTGAATAACACTTAAACACAACACTATCTCACCTTTACCCTCAATAGGCAGATGGTTGCACTTCATGATGGCCAGCACTGCCTGCGAGATATTGGGGAACTCGATCAGTCCCGACGACGAGCGCTCGGTCTTCAAGGGGAACAGGCGCACCGAGGTGGCGGGCACATCCTTGATGTTAAAGATTCCAATCAGCTGGTCCTCGGTCAGGCCGGGCGGTGTGTTGAAAAAGTGCAAAATCTAAAAGGGAGGAGAGGAGGAAACTAAATTAGATACGATATTTTTTAAGGGACAACTATCGTAAGCCTACCTTGCTCGGTGGTTGAATGCGATTCTTGCTGGCCTGGGCCGGCGATAGGAAACGATTGTTCTTGGAGCCTGTGTACTCCTTGAAGCTGGGTGTATGATCGGGCAGCAAGAACGGGTTGATCACCTCGGATAGGAAGTTCTGCTTGGAGAAAGCAATCTGTATTTTGCCGCCAGTGCCCACGGGAATGTTGTTCAAGTGCTGTACGCAACGCTCGACGGCCACCGAGTCGCCCATTTGCACCATGGCGGTGCCCTCTTTGGTCTTCAAGAACTTGATCTGAAAAAGAGAGGAAAGGTTATAGTTAAATCGTTTGTTTTTGCCCATAACTGATTTTCCCACAAAGTGACGATGCGTTTACCTGCACTGCTCGCCTCTCTCAGTACCTCAATTAAATTATATGCCCCAGCTCCCCGGCACTATGGTCTTTATCAACCCCCTCCTCTGATTTCCACTACATATACTACCCTGCCCAAGGGTGCCCCTGGCTGATTGAATTCTCTTGTCGCTGTCATCTCTCGCACTTAACCCAATCTGTCAGGGGAGCAGAACAGAGCAGAGCAGAGTTCTACATTTTCATTGAATTCAATTTAAAATTTCCTTCAAACGCAATTATATAGCAGAATGGCGTCCTTAATTCTCCATTCATTGTGTGGGTGAGTGTGTTCCTGCCGTGTGAGTATACACATACGCCCAGGAACTCCCACAATGGTTATAGCCGTACCTTCCCTCCTCCTTATTGGGTCATCAAAGTCAGTCGTGTACGTGCCCAATAGCCAAAAATAGCTGAAAATATTATCATTGCTTGTGATTTTCACTTGACAAATATCCGAAATATCATTTGACACTGTCGCCTTGTATTATTATGTGTATGGGAAATTGATAATGCTGAAATAGCAAGAAAGTTGCATCCGAGTTTAATTGGATTGGAAACTCTTCCAGTTTTAGAAAAGAGAAAAAAACGATATTTGATTATTAAGCCTATTTTTTAGTTCGCAATTCTTCACACTTCGCTGAAAGCGATTTGTTGCGTTGCAAAAGTAATTGACCATAATAATTTTGCCAAAACAATAATTACAAAACGAGCCCAGAGAGCCGGGAGAAAGTGAAAATCAATGGAAATGCTGGCGGGGCTCAGCTTGGATAATTCCTTCGTTCATTCACTTGCTTGGTTGGTTGGTTGGTTGACTGACTGCATTGGCAAATCAATTTGCTGGCCGCCGCCAGGCATTGAACTCGGCGGAGGGGGGAACTGCTGCTTTTGGCCAAAGCTGAAACGAGTTTTCGCAATCGACTTGGTTGGCCAGCGAAATAGAGAAGCGAACCGAGCGAGCACCTGTCCAAATTGGACGACGGGCGCTGCAATTTTGTTTTTCAAATGCCTTAATTTGGCGCATTGATGTCGGGTTTTTTTTCACGCACCGAGAAGCGAGCTTGGCATTTAGTGAATTTTTCGCCAATTTGATTTATTTTTCGCTCGGTTTCTGTGCGACTGCTGCAGTTTGGGGTCAACCAAATATAATTATGACTGCAGGCACACTTCAAGCCAAGCTAATTGCCAGTTGGAGGTCATTTGCGACAAGCAGTAAACAAGAGTATAAACGACAAGAGGTCTCCTAAAAATCGATAAACTTTTCCACGACTTTGTTGTTGGCAAATTATAAGCTCATTTAATAAATTATTCAATTATTAAATATCACCCATGTCCTTTGCATATACCCAATTATATTATAATGAACTGCAAACATTACGAAATAAACAAAGAGAATGCGCCTGGAAAGGGGTCCGTGTGTAAATGGGGCAAACAATTTGCTTATAATTAAACCAATCCCCCCGACACATCCGCATGCAACTATTCCATAGAGTGCGAGGGTCTAAAGTGGGCCGCAATCAAAACGAATATGCCCGAATGGAGTACGAATGGTATGGGTAAGTGTGGGATCGAGTGGGGCTGGTAAAAGTAAATAAAAACTAAATGAGGCTTATCGAGTAGGAATACGAGAAACCCGAAACCGAAAAGCGAGACACGAAACGGAATCATAAAAATAAAGCATTGTATAAAAATAAATATAAACCATAAATCAGTCAAGCAGAAAGCGTCCAGATAGCCCCTGCTGGAATCCCCAGAAACAAAAGGATAATGAAATTACAAACATGCAAACATGGGGCCACCAACACACACACATATTTAGTTATATATGTGCGCGAAATAGAACCGCGTGCCAGCAGGATTCTCTGGCCAAATCAAAGAGCGCTTCATGGCTGGATGGTCACTGCTGCTGGTCAACAGCCGCAGCCGCAGCAGCGGCAAACATTCGGTGCGTGTCTAATGAGCTGTGCTGTGCTGTACTCTCTACCCCTCCTTTGCACCACCTCGGTCCTTGCCATTTTCCACCCCATGACCCCTGGTGCGCCGGCACTGCGTTAATTAAAATGCGACCCTCTCGCCCGAGATCGCTTTGTTGTGCAATGTGGCATGGTGTCTGCTCTGCCATTTGATTTAATTGCTCACGCGCAGCTCAAAAGCAGCATTGGCTGACCTATGCTCCCCATTCAACATCCCTACTACCGCCCCCCTCAAAACTCAATAGAGATACTCCACCCACCATCCACATTGTATCCAAATGTTTTTTTAATGCGTATTTAATTGAGTGCGTGTATTTTTTTGGCCTTTAAAGACTCCCCGCTCCTCTCTTTATTTGACTTTTCCCCCAAAAACCTTTGCCCTGTCAACACAGCTTGTCGTAGTGGTCCCTCGAGCCGAGTCAATCCTCCCCTCCTCTCCTTTTCTGTCCTATTTTTGTCATGCCATTTAACCTGAAAATCAATTTGATGACTTCATCGCCCCGAACCCAGAACCAGAAATAATTAACCAGATTGCTTCGTTGGGGCGGAAGGAAACTGCTTGGCAATATTTTCCTTGGCAGCGAAAGTGGAAATTACAAATCGCAAAATGCAAAAACACAATTCCAGGCATTTCCCCCGGGGTCCCTCTGCCCCTATATCACGAAATATTTGACAGCCTTCCTAGTCAATATCGACTGGCAACGCATTTTTCGGCAGGTTAATCAAATTCCTTGCAACAGAATGTTTATGCCAAACCCTATTAGGATCGAGGCTCATTGAAATCGAATACTGGGTATTTCCGCTTTTCGGCATCCACAGGGTGTAAGGGCATCCGGTCTTCGTGTATCTATAATTTAGGGAAGACACGATCCCGAATGTTTCCCCATGGGAATCCCATTAACGCCAACACATGGTGTGGGTTCGAAAAAAAGGGACTGAGATGGCAAGGAAACTCATGCAACGGCACTTTGATTGAGTGGCCATCAATTTCTCATTCGCAATTCAAACATGTCGGCCCATAAACTCGCAGATACATCCAAACAGACCCCACCCACACACCACACACACATCAACATACGTGCCCATCGACTTTATAATGAGGCAACAACCCTGGCTTTTCACTCTGTGAACTCAGTTGCATAGCGACAGGCGCAGCGAACCGAGCTGCTTTTTGCGATGGGGTTAGAACTCGCCCAGAAACCGAGAGTTGGGCTAAAAAGCGAGTGGGTGGTTGGGTATGAGTAGGGGGCCAGCAGGATGGAGAAATGTATGTTTGCGGCTTAGCCGACCAGTGAATAATGTTTGCGCATAATCATTTTTAATGGCTAATGAGTAGTTTCCGTCTCGGACAGGAAGTTGGCAATAAATTTGGCCCTATGGTCGTCCACTCCCCTCCTCCTCCTCTTCTTTTCCTCTTCCTTCGAGCGCAAGGGTGCAAGTGTCAGAGAAAGAAACTGAACTAAATGGCCGCGCCCTGAATTATCGTGAACCTCCCCCTCTGCCCACTAAAGTAATGGCCAAATGAGAGTCCTTCTAGAAATTGTGGGTGTATTGCTTGGAACAAAAAGTAAAGTAAAGCAAAGGTCAGTTAAATTATTGGCTAATGGAGGAGGCCACGGTTGGTAAATGCAAAAAATGGAAAACAAATTTAAGTGGAAGAGAATCGATTTATATTGGGCTATGAAGCTCTTGGGTGAAATTTAATATGCTTTGGTTTTTTTTAGGGGTATACTTTACTTTCTAACTAAAATATAAAAACTCCCTTTAAAGAAAATAGAACAACTTTGAACTGAGCTCAAAAGGATTCATTCCAGTTTCATAGCAAAAAATCACTGTCTTTCACGTAAGTGATATTGTATGAGTACCCTGCTTTCGTTTAGTATACGACACAGTGAAATTCCTTAACGATATAACTCCTTTGAAGGATTGAATAACCTTTGGCTCCCAGCTACTTCAGTGTGCAGGGAAAGTGGTTCGTGTGGTCTCCTCCAGTCGCCTTGACTCGCTTTATCACAGACATAAACTAAACAAAACATGTGAGGGAGCTAAGGAATCGTTGTGGTTGGTGGTTCCCCCCTGTGTCCTTGGCGAGCGCAATTGTCAAAGGACACACACTCGTACGAGGGGGCGGAATCATAGTAGCAATAAAGTGAAAGCTCTGGCACACGCTAAAGAAGTTTTTAGCATTTGACTTTGATGTTGGTGGCGCTCCCCACAAGCTCATTGTTCGGTGGCCAGTGGGTGGTGGTAAGTGGGTGGCTTAGATAGCTAAGGCGTTTTCTGTGGCTGCACTAAATGCTCCCCAAGCGGGTTTCCCTTTTTCGCCTGGCGACCGACTAACAATGAGCACATTCCGAATTGCCATTCACCAAAGCTTTTTAATGGATTCTTTTTTGGTCGTCATCGTGTTTTGATTTACAAGCGACTTGCCAATCGTTTTGCCATTGTAGAAGGAGGTGGGCTGGGTTTTTAGCCAAACGCCACACCCACACAGATAAAGCTGATGACGCTGCACTGATTGCTGTCCCGAGGCGACTCTCCAACCGAGAACCCCACACACATGGCGGGGATATTAATCTAAAACGCTTTATCTAAATGTGTTTTGCGGATCCAACTGGCCTACTACATATAGCTGTAGGTCCTCTACTGGTCGTCTTCGCTCTGTCCTGGCCTCGTCCTTTTATTGCCTTTCGTTTTATTTGCACATTTACAAATGGCACACAGACACAAAGTGTTCTTGCGGTTGGCTTTCCCACTCAAAAACACCTTTTTCTTCCTTTCTTCGGCCGATATTTCGCCGCAAAGTGCTGACGACCAAAAGCAAAGCGGCGGCAATGAAATGCGTATTTTTCTCCTCTTTTTTTGTCAGCTTTCTGCCTAAGTGCAAGTTGAGGATATTTCTTTCCTCGCCCTTTTTTTACAATCTAAAAGGTCATAAGCAAAGGGTTGGAACCGAATGGGTTCCCTGAAGAGCTGGTGTTAAACGAACATTTGAGTGTGCTTTAACATTAGTTTGTTTAAGCACGTAGAGACCAAGTAAAAACACTTTCTATATTTCGAAAAAAAAAATCTGAAGATTAAACGACCAGAATTGTGCAAACATTATCTCCGTAAAATCTTGAAGATGATTTGCCAAAATATTTACTAGCTCTCCTTTTGATCTCAACATTCAAATTGAAAGTGTCATATTTAAGAAATTATTTCGTTATTCCCAATTAAATAAATTTATTTTAAATGTAATTTAATCAGTTCCCTTTTCTCCAATCTTACAATTAAAATACAATTTAAATGTTTCAACTTACCCTTGCCACGTTGCCGTACAGGCAAACCAAATTGAAGAGCTTATCCGTGTTGGAAGTGTCGTGGTCCAGGCCGTAGACCATCATGACGGCGCCCTGAGGAAGCGGCAGCAGCAGCAAGATAAGGAAGATAAGGAAAAGTGGGAAAACAACAACAGGAGAGTTAATTAAAATTCCGTCTTGGATGGAGAGGGGAATGTCTTGATCAGAAATTGTGGACAAATAACAATCGTATTTGTCTCCTCTCTCCCAAGAATATTGCAACAATACTCACCTGAGCCTGTCCTTGCGGTGTGAAGGCCACCGGAGCATTGCGTCCGGGAACGACGCCGGCGGGCTCCTTCATCAGGCCAGTGGGATGGATGGCGGCGCCCTTCCAGTTCTCGGGCGTGGTGGGATGATATTCGGGGGCTCCGAATGGCGGGAAGGCGGCGCCGGGTCCCAATAGCGGTGGCTCTTTAAATTGACAAAGATTGTGCGATTGAGCTGGGGCAACTAGTTGATGTTGATGTGGTAGTGGTGCTTGTTGTTGATGTTGTTGTTGGTGGTGGTGGTGGTGGTGTTGATGTGTAGGTGGTACATGTTGTTGTGGTGTCGACAGTGTTGGTACTGCATGTTTTTGGTTATATAATGCATGCAACAACAATAGCGATAGCAAAATTATATAAATGAAACGAAACAAAAAGATAAACGGAAAAAAAATTTGTTTTAGTGTTAGCCAATTGTTTAAAACTTAAAATTAAAGCTAGCCAAAATATTGTTGTTGCATGAGAGGTTCCAAAAGTTGAAGAACGCAAGAGTTCCTTTTCTAAAATCAAAATCCTAAACCGAAAAGCGGAAACCACGAAGCTGGGCTTACAGACATCACATATCCCTCACTTAGACCAGGGGCGTCTTTTCCAGGGGGGTTCTGACATTTTTGGCTGCGGTTTTTCGAAATGGTGCCCCTTTTATGCCGGCTGCGGTTTGGCATGTAAGTTAATTGAATTTCTGGCAGGCGTAGGAAAAAATGTGCAGAATATACACAGGCCAAATTGGTCTGTAGAGCTTCGTTCTTTGGGGTTCCATTTTGTGTTTTGCTTTACAGCGGTTGCAACCAAAGAGTGGCATCAAAATGGAACCACTCGTATTGGTATTATCCCGCTCCAACCCCCTCCTCCTCCTATCAAAACAATAAAAACGACAGCTTCTGGACGAAGGCAATAACGAAGACCGGGCTCAGGCACCACAAACACCACAGCATCGCAAATCTGCCGACGTCTTGTAATTAAAGCAAAACTGCGACAAACTGCCAAAATGTCGCGCCAAATATGGCTGAGACAGCTCAGCTCGCTAGTTGGCAGGCATTTAATTAACTTTAAAAGTGTCGCCAGCCGGCAGCAGACACATGCAACTTTTTGGCCTTGTTTAAGCCAAACACTTTAACCTAATCACTCGCAAAGTTGAGGGAAAAAGTGAGACACACAGTTGCGCGTTGGGAACTCAATATGCATGGTGCTTGTTATGCCAAAATGGCTGCCCGAGTTGCCATTTCGTAGCTGTTTTTGTTTTGATTTGATTTAGTTGCACCACGTAGTCGAGTCGTCCTGCCAAAGCCAGCAACTGTGGCTTTGCATTGGGGAGTCGAGAGGAGACTCGAGTTGAGTCGTCCTCTCGTCATGGCTGGTTTATTTTGGACTTTGGGGCTACCTGACAAAATATTTGCATAAAAATCCACACACACACGCGGTGAGAAGTTAGACTACCAAATAGAAAAAAAACAAGGAAAAGTAGCGAAAAAAATCTGGCATTTTTATGTTGGCTGTTAGTTTTGGAGCTGTCCGCTTTTTTATTCGCGAAAGGAGCAAGGGGATGGTAGCTCGTCCAATGCAAACAACACAAATTGATGCAATTTTTCACAAGCCCTTAATCCGTTTGAATTTACGTGCGAATTTTAAAGCGTTCCGCCCCTGGAAAACTTGGCCTAGGCACGTTTCAATTCACCAACTTTGCCATAAGTAAATAATCCTCGGCCATTGGAACTTGGGGCGGTTTTTGGTTAAGGAAAATGTTTGGGTTTCGTCCACCCCCTCTTATCAACATAAGCCTTCGATACCCCCGAGTCAATAACAATTTCGAATAAACCAAGGCCCCGAAACCACCATAGTTATTCATTTCGAGTGCGAGAGCGAGCACCCCCTGCTGCTTTGGGCTTTAATTGAAATTCACCGCCTTTGCTGATTTGCTGCAACACGGGGCGTATGCGTGACGCCAGGCCAGCCAAGCCAGCCAAGCGAAATTGCTAGCCCCAGCTTCCGTTGTTTGCCCCCGAAAATCAAGTTTTCGCCTTCGCAGCAAGAAAAGAAATATACGCCCTCTGGCTGGACGAAGTCGAGCATGAGGATGAGGACGAGGACGACGTCGTCGGAAGCGTGCCTAAAATGTTTAAGTATTCGGGGAATTGTTGCATGCACAATTGCTGGAAAATGTTTCACACGCAAGGCGTCGAAAAGGAGCAAAAGGTGGCTAACTGAGCAGGTGTAAATTTTCAGCGCGCACAAATTATTTTAGATTATGTGTTTCGGCGGCCAGGCGGAAGTTGGAGTTTAGTTTCGTTTTTACGAAGCATTAAAAGTGTGTTAGTGTGTGTTAGTGTGTGTTAGTGCCAAACCGCAGTCATTTGCATACAGAAATAGAGAAACGCTGTTGTGTGGATTACGTATACGACACGTGTGTCGCGATTAAGTGCTTTGTTGGTTTGCAATTACGGAACTTTCGCTGTGCTGAGGTAGTGGACAGCAGATATTTTGAAATTTAACATTTTCCCTTTAACGAGACTTGCAACAATGCGATGACAAAACAAAATAGAGGTTCTCTGCTACAAAGAACGCATTTCTTCCATCTAACCACAAAAGCGAGCTGCACACAAAATCCATTAAAACTCGGCCTCAATGTGTGTGGGTGAAAGTGGGTGGGTGGCTGTTCCGAAAGGTAAACAAATAAAACAACGCATATGGGTGGTCTGGCTGGTAGTGCTGGTGTTCCACAATGTATTTATGCTGCAAATTGTTGCATACTTTGTGTGCGGCGTATTGGCACACTTTGTCAGCAGGCGACTCTGGGAACCGGAGGATTGCTAGCTGAAAAGTCGGTCCAATGAACAGGGTAATGGCTGGCAACAAACAAACAGCAGCTCTCGTTCACCTTAATTGCAATTTGCTTAAATGTATGCTACAATATTTTTCAGCTGCACTGCCATCCCTTTTCTAACATCCCACCCCTGAGCATCGCTTCGCCGTTCAATGATTTTCAATTTGTTAGAGTCAACTTAGGAGCTTGATGCGAAACTGTACTGCAACAAAATATGCCAAGAGTCATGGCGCCGTTGTCCCGTTTATCTGGCTGCATGCACAGCGCCACGCCCCTCTTGATTTTCCTCCCCTGTTTTTCCGACTCGTGTGCGCGCGACGTCATCATGTGACATTAATTTTCCCCCAAACGCCCCCAACTCGATCTGCGCTCACAGTTTGCGCTCACGTCTTGCATAAACATTTCCATAAGCAGCTTCAAAATTGAATTTGTTTTCATAAGCAAAACTATTATGTTGGCAAAGAGTTGTCCCTGTGTGTGACACGATAGCAGAAACGACGATGAACCCCAGCGGAGGAGAGCTTATAAAAAATAATCATAATAGAGCAGAGAGATTGTGAGAAGACGCTGCCACATGTAAGAAGCTCGGAAGCCCCGATGAGCAGCGCGAGCCAGCTGATTATGTGACAATGCGCCCCTGATTGGTTTTTAATGTTCCGAAAAACTTTTCTACCCAGTAGTGGCTGGCTTTAAGCCTTTAACTGAATACCAGCGGAAATGCCAATGCTTATCGGAATGAAATCAAAGAGCGCAAAGACAACGACCCCCGCACAACCCACGGCAATGAGCCAATTTATATGCGATACGCAAGCCCCATTCCTCCGTAGAAATTAGTCCGATAAGCGGACCCAAATGGCAAGGAAAGTGGAGGGAAAAGGATTGCGGATTTTTTACGACAGCCTTGGAGCGTGGAAATAAATTTGTGCTCAACTCTCATGAGCTTAATTACATTTACGGTGGATTTGAATAATATAAACGCATGTAATAGCCGTCGTTGTTGTCTCTCCACCAACTTTTGTTTATATACTTTCCTCCACTCCTGGCAAACAGACAAGCAAACAGACAACGCGAGCAAATACACAGGACAACATAATTAGAAGCACAAAATGGTATTTAAGTCGGTTGGTTCCACTGGAGCGATAGGACCTTGCTTATGAGGATTTATAATATAATTCATAATCACACTCGGTCGGTCGGTCGGTCGTATGTGGGTGTTTGCTTAGCAAATTGGCGTGGCTTGGCCTTTAGTTTGGTCTTAGCTTTCGGTTTTGGCCAAGATCCTCCTCCTCTTGGCTTCGCCTAATTATCGCATTGGTAAACATGCTCCCCCTATGCTTTAATGGCATGCAAACACATGTGCAATCAGTGTCCCCACAGCCACGCCCACGTCCACTCATCCGCCCACTTATCGGTTTGGAGAGTGCTTGGCCATCGGCTCTCGAGTTTTTAGCCCTCCTCGAATTACTCTATTCGAGCAGCTGATGCAGTTTGGTCAAGAGCAAAAAATAAATGTTAAGTGACATTTCGAGAGACGAGAGTTCTCGTTCTCAATGCGATATAAGCTGACTTGAGGAGCGGCACTAGAACTTTAGTGGCCACCCTCGCCAGGGCGATGGTTGTTTGTTGTGGCTTTTGATGTATTGACTTTGTGGGTGGTGGTGGAAAAGCGATAGTCCGCCTCCCACTGACGATTGCATGCGACGTACGTTTTCAAGCGTTTTTCTACTTAATGGAGCTCCGCGTGTGTAAATATACCCTGCATATTTATGATATTCATATACTCCCAAACTATCCCCGAGTCGTAGGAAAAAATTCTCTTTGAATTGCGCAGCCATGCTCTAATAACAAACTTAGTTTTCGCTTTGATAAAGTTTCTCCCCGACTCACTACCCCGCACTTATCAGAGCCTGGGGGAAAAGCGAAAATCGATAGTGCCATAAAAATATAACAAACAATGAGGGAAAAAGAGCCGGGCAAACGGCAAACTATGGCAAAGTGCGCTGTGCAGCTGCGGGGACAATTTCGATATTGTAATTTGGAAAATTGCACGATTCTCAAAGCGGAAGATGGATAGAGGGCAAAAACTGCAAGTGGCGAACGCATTAGCAAAATGTCCAATTAATTGCTTTAGAAAATTACACTTGAAAGTAAGAGCGCGCTTGGCTGACAAAAAGCTGCCATCGTTTTTTTCCTCCTGTTTCTTTTTTTGCCCAGGCTGTCCAGATGCTAAATTAATTACAAATTATAAGGGAAGAGGGGGATGAGATGGAGCAGCCGCCTCCTGCATAAATTAGGCAGCAAAATGGCGGACTTTTTGGTTCATAAAACTGCGAAGCGCCACATTAAAGCAAATCATTAGGCATATTAAGTGGCAATATTCCTTCCCCTTTCTTAGGGGCAGCACAATTTAAATGCAAATATAAAGAAATGCCAATAAAAAAGATCCTCAACCTGTCGCCGCCGTTCCGCAGAAATGAATC